TATGAGGTGGTCTCTGGGGGCGACTCCTTCTCGGTTTGGACACTAGAGTCCAACACCAGCATCTTTCTTAGGTGGAGCTACATGGCTTCTCTCTGACTCTGCCTCCTTTCTCCCAGCATTCAGTTTAGTGTCCCATCCTGTGTCCCGTCTCCCCCCACTCTCCGCTTTTCCTAGCTATAGGTCCAAAGCAGTTTCTTTATTAGCCAATGGTAGTCACAGCATACAGAGGGGAATCCCGCATCACATTAGACCACAAAGACCTCTGTTGATACATAGACCAGACAGCTTTATATTTATTAGGGAGTTCAGAATCTGATTCTGCACAAAGACATTGGCGAGCTACAGCTTTTGTTCGGCAGTCATGCTTTGTTCTGCCTGCCTGGTTTCACATGGCAACATGGATTAGTTACTACCTAGTAATATTACCTATCATAGGCTTAAGAAGCTAGAACCAGCCTCATCTGCAGCCAATTGGCCGTTTGTATCAACTGCGTCTTCACTTTGCATAGCAACAGGAGCTTCTTACTGGCAACAGCCTGCTACTTATTCTCACTGGCAGCCACAGGTCCCACTTCCTCTTCCTCCTCTTGCTTTTTAAGACAGGGTTTCTCTGTGTAGCTGAGCTGTCCTGGAACTCAGAGATCATCTACCTCTGCCTTCCTAGTGCTGGGATTAAAGGTGTGTGCCTAGCTCAGACACCACTCTCTCCTCTCTCTCTTTCTCTCTCAGACAAAATTTCTCTGTAAAACAGTTCTGGTAGTCCTGGAACTCACTCTGTAGATCAGGTTGGCCTTGAACTCACAGAGGTACACCTGCATCTGCCTCCAGAGTGTGTGCTGGGATTAAAGGCATGTACCACCACTGCCCAGCCAGATCACACTCCGTATTTGTAGCTTTTGACCAGCTGACTCATCTATGTGCCAATCTCTTAGAGCTCTCTCCTCACCCCTTTTTTTGTTTGTTTTGTTTTGTTTTGTTTTGTTTGAGACAGGGTTTCTCTGGGCAACAACCTGGCTGTCATGGAACTTGCTCTGTAGACCAGGCTGGCCTGCCTCTGCCTCCTGAGTCCTGAGATTAAAGGCGTATGCCACCACTGCCTGGCTCCCTCTCCTTTTAAGAAAGGATTTTACATAACTGGGCAAGGCTGGCCTCGTGTAGCACAGGCTGGCCTCAAACTCAGCATATAATTCTGGCTAACCTTGAACTTCTTGTTATCATACTTTAGCCTCCCAAAGGCTACAATTACAGATAAGCAACAGGATTAGCTAAAATGTAGGTTTAAAAGTGTTATGGGGGGTGCGGAGAGATGGCTTATATGTATAGAAGACTGGCTGTGTTTCCAGAGGATCTGAGTTCCCACATTGCAGCTCACAACCATCTGTGGTCTGGTCACAGGTGATTTGGCACCCTCTTCTGGACCCTGAGAGCATTGCATACATGTGGTGCATTGTGTGGAGGCAGGGCATCCATACACATAAAATAATAATAAAGGAAAAAATAATTAAATGTTATTGGGATGGCAAGTAATGGAGAGATGGTTCAGAGGTTAGGAATAGTTGCTGGTCTTTCAAATGACCAGAGTTTATATTAAAGTGCTCACAACTGCCTGTAACTCTAGCTCCAGGAGATTTGAGATTTGATTCCCTGTCCTAGCCTCCTCCCGAACTCACAAGCATAGGCACACACTAACATAATCTCTCTCTCTCTCTCTCTCTCTCAGTGAGGTGGCTCAAGAGATAAGGGCACTTGCCACAAATCCTGATGACTTGAATTCAACAGGACTCAGATAGTGAAAGAAGAGAATTCCCACAAGTTCTCCTCTGGCCACCACACAGATATGCCATGGCACACATACAATGTAATAAAATGTTATTTCTCTTATTCCTTAATTATCTGATGAAAAAGAAAAATCAAGCAACATCATCGGTGTAACTGTGCTTATTTCCATTTTAGAATTACCCTAGTTTGTAGTACTAGTATCTGGGAAGTAGAGGCAGGAGGAGCAGGCGTTCAAGGCCAGCATTAGATATATAACAAATTAAAGGATAGATTTGAGCATGCTAAGTAAGATCTTTACCACTGGTCTACACCTTTTGGAGAGGCCCACATGCCAAGCACTGGTGCGGGAGAATTATCTGTATTCTGTCAATCATATTTTAATAAAATGCTGATTGGCCAGGCAGGCAGTATAGACGGGAAAGCCAGACAGGAAGTAGGGGTGGAGCAAAGAGCCTGGGAGTATTCTGGGAAAACAGGAAGCTTCCTCAGCGACTCCTGTGCAGACCACCGAAGAGACAACATGTACCCTGCCCAGCTGAGAAAGGTACGGAGTCATGTGCTAACGTAGATAAGGATAATGGGGTAACATAAGTTATAAGAGCTAATAAGTAGCCGGACCAAACGGGCCAATCAGTTTATAATCTTATGGAGTCTTGTGTGTGATTTTTCTTTGGGGTTTGCCGGTTGTGGGGTACCGGGCGGGACAGAAACCCCAACAAGCCGGCCCTTCATGTTAGAAAGCACCTTTGCTAATAGCTTGTTATGTACACAAAATAGCTTATTGATTCAATAAGTTTATTTGGGTTTTTTTATAGAGCATAGGTAGTCCCCAAACAACTGAATCATCACAAGGTCCTACCTCATCATAAGATGTTGCATCATGGAATTTCTCTTTTGTTGGGCCCTAAAGCCCCCCCAAGGAGGAGGTCGCCCCAAGAGACACTCTCAGCACGGTTGATGCAATAGCAAGAGGAATTTTTATTCTGCCACAGCAGAGGTCCCTCAGCCTCAAGAGGAGAAGGACCCCAGCTTTGTCTATTACAGGTTCTTTTAAAGGGAAAATCACAGAATTAGGGAGGGGGTGGTACAGGGTACAGGGTGGTACAGAATCAGTACAGAGTGATACAGAATCAAAGGGAAAGTCCAGAAATCATTTGTCACCATTTTGACTAGTTCATTTATCGGTTGGCTAACTTTGTAATCAATGCTATGGTGATTACATGCAGGAACACCTGTGGGTCGTCTCACCCTAGTTCCAGGGCCTGTGTCTATGGAAGAAAGATTACAATGGTAAGAGAAAGTACTCAAAGCTCCAATGCACCTGTGGTTAGTTACCCGGGTCTTGGTTCACAAGGAGGTGGGTGTAGTAGTGCTAAGGCACCCCAAAGTTTTTCATTTCCCCCCTTTGTTTTGGTCGAATCTCAATCCTGAGATTCTCAGGGATTATCTTTAAGGGTATGATATTGCTGGATCAACATCAAAGCTTGAGTAATGCTAAGTCGCTCGTGAATAAACATCAAGAGTCGATTAAGGATACAGGGCCCAAAGGTCAGGATAAGTAATAGAATGATCAAGGGACCAGTGATGGTAGAGATAAGTGTTGTGAGCCGGGGGAGCGATTAAACCAGCCTTCAAACCAACCTTGTTGTGCCTCTCTGTCTTTCTGTCTCTTGTCTAACCGGTCTCTAAGCTTAGCCATCGAATCTTTAATTACCCCAGTGTGATCTACATAGAAACAACATTGCTCCTTCAAGGCAGCGCAGAGTCCTCCTTCTTGAAGAAATAGCAAATCTAATCCTCGCCTATTTTGTAACACTACTTCAGAAAGTGAGGTTATCGACTCTGCAAGCTTTGTGACAGATTGTTCTAGGGCCCTTAAGTCCTAATCAATAGCCGCTCTTAGTTCCACAAATGCTGGGGATTTTGGAGCTCTGTACCAGAGCAGTAGAACCAGTGCCGACACCGGCTGCCACCCCAAGGCCCAAGATCACTGCTAGGGTCAGGGAGATGGACTCTCATCAATAACGGCTCAGGTGTCTGTCAAATTCATCCTCAAATGTGTTAGCAGGATAATAAAAGACCCGTGGTACCAGTTGAATGAGCACACAGTAATCTTTGGTACCATCAAAAACTGAAGTTGCCACGCAAGGCATCAAGCCCGTATTACAAGCCCACCATTTGTCTGAATCAGGGATAAGGTATCTAGTTTTAGAAGTTTTAGAGCTCTTAAGGGTTTCATTGCATAAATGTTTATAAGAATCTGGTGGATTTCCCAAACATGTCCCTGCACCAGTCACCTCTGTAAGAGTTAGTTTATGACTGGCTCCCCAAGCACAGTCAGCCTGGTTAGTCGTGTTGTTGAAACCCCTGGATGTTGTAATCCCTTTATAGTATGGGGGTCCTGCTGATAGGCATAGCCAGCAAGATTGTGTTATGTTGGGGTCAGTATTATTCAACAAGGAAAAGGCTCTCGTTATTAGATTAAACAGTCGCTGGGCCGTGTTGGAGAGCGCTGGCAGTGAAGCAGGGGTAACTAAGGAGGGATATTTATGACCTGAAGTGGGACCCAGGTCCTCGACAAGCGGGGGGGCTACCTTGGCAAGAGCCTGCTGGCCCTGCTCAGACAATACCGGGTTGGGTCCTATTGCTGCAGTCATGGGGGGTGTTATAACAACTCTCAAGGTAAACAGAATCCCTACGTCTTCTCCTACTGGATAGCACATTGGATTATACAGCCGTAAACCCCAAGTTTTGCATGTTAAACAATTAACTTTTTTTCCTTTCTCAGTGAAGGTGATTGTGATGTTAGATTCCCCTAGTGTGGTACGAGCGAAAGAGACTAAGTCCCCTTTGTTATTTCCCAACCAGGAGACACTGACACTGGTTACATCCCCGGGCAGCACAATAAAATACTTCAGCTCCCCCAACATTGCCAGGTTCATTTCTCCCCCAGACAAATATACCATTCAGAATATCTGCAATCAGGGTAAGAGTTCTCGAGGGCTCGTTCAGTATCCTTCCAAGAGTCTTTTGCTAAAACACACAGGTCAAAAGTTAGCTGGGGGAACCAGGTATCCAAGGGATGTGGCTACTCTAGGTATCCACTCCAGTGGCTAGCTCTAGGACTTGCCCAGTCTCAAAGTTAGTCAGAGTCCAGGTTAAGTTCTGAGGTGTATGGGGGTTTTTAGCACTATATGTGGAAGGAAACATCAGGGCAAAGATCAGCAAGCCTCCTTGACTAATTTTAGTTTCAGAGGGTTTTGGATACACTGGAGCTTCCATTTGGAATGTCCTGGGTCGTCCTGTGTAGGTGCTGGCTTGGCGTGAGACGTGTGGATCCAGACTGCAATACCATCCACTTTGAGGGCCGTAGGTGTCGTAAGAAGCATGGTGTAGGGTCCCTTCCAAGGAGGTTCAAGGTTTTGGGACTGGTGTCTCCGAATGTACATGGAATAGCCAACCTGGAACGGGTGTGAGATCTCCGGATGGCCAGGCTGGTAGGCAGTAGCCAAGGGCCTCCACACCTGGGCCTGGACGATCTGAAGTGCTTTTAACCGCGCCTGCAAATCGGGTTTGTGAGTAGCAAGGTCAGGAGGAGCCCCAAAAGAGGCCAATGGGGGAGGTCCCCCATATAGGATCTCATAGTGGGTAAGTCCAAGCCGAGATGGGGTATTTCGCACCCAGAACAGGGCTAGGGGAAGAAGTTGTACCCAGTCCCTAACGCCCGATTCCAAAGACAATTTAGTTAAAGTCTCCTTTATGGTTTTATTCATTCTTTCTACCTGTCCTGAACTCTGGGGTCTGTATGCACAATGTAATTTCCAATTAATCCCCAGTGTCTTGGCCACATCCTGACTTACCTGGGAGACAAAGGTTGGGCCATTGTCGGACCCAATTACCTTGGGCAGGCCAAACTGAGGAAAAATATCTTCTAGTATCTTTTTTACCACCATTTGAGCTGTTTCTCGTTTGGTGGGAAAAGCTTCTGTCCAACCAGAGAAGGTGTCTATAAAAACTAGGAGATATTTATTACCATATTTTCCTGGTTTTATTTTAGTGAAGTCTACTTTCCAATGAGTACCAGGTCTGTCTCCCCTTATTCTTATGCCCTCTGGGGCACTTTGACATTTTGTGTTTACCTTGGCGCAGGGAACACAGGTTGATGTTACTTGCTGTATGAGGGAGTTAAGACCTGGAATATAAAAATCTGTCTTTTTCATAAGAGCTTTAATCTTTTTATGTCCTAAATGAGTCCATCGATGCATTTGAGTAGCCAATTCAAAAGCCTCTTTCTTGGGCAACACAGTTTTGCCCTGGTATTTCCAAGTCTTTTGTTGTTCATCAAAGTCTGCATTAAGTTTCTGAATAGTCTCTAGATCCTGGGTTGAATATTGGAGACAATCTTCTGGGGGGGTGCCTCTGCCAGGGGTAATATTTCTGAGTTAAGTGCGGCCTTTTTAGCCATCTCATCTGCCATCTGATTTCCTCTGGCAATAGGATCATCACCCTTCTGATGTCCTGGGCAATGAATAATGCTCACCTTCTTGGGTAGAAAAGGGGCCCTCAATAATGCCAGGATTTTAGTCTTATTTTTTATTTTTTTAAAATATTTATTTATTATGCATACAATATTCTGTCTGCATATATGCCTGCAGGCCAGAAGAGGGTACCAGACCCCATTATAGATGGTTGTGAGCCACCATGTGGTTGCTGGGAATTGAACTCAGGACCTTTGGAAGAGCAGGCAATGCTCTTAACCTCTGAGCCATCTCTCCAGCCCTAGTCTTATTTTTTAATTTCTTTTTCAGCAGAAGTTAACAGTCCTCTTTTTTTTATAAATTTTTCCATGGACGTGGGCCATTGCAAAAGCATAACGGCTGTCTGTATATATGTTTATTTTTTTTCCTTTTGCTAGCTCCAAAGCCTTAGTAAGGGCTATTAGTTCTGCCTTTTGAGCAGAGGTTCCTGGGGGCAATGCCCGTGCCCATATGGTGTTCTGTCCATCCACCACTGCTGCCCCCACCTTTTGCTCACCTTCTTTGAAGAAGCTGCTGCCATCTGTGAACCAGGTATAATATGCATCAGGAAGCCGGCAATCAGTCAAATCTTCCCTGGTTCCATGGTATTCTGCCAATATCTGGTGGCAATCATGAGGCATCCAAACAGTGGGCTCCGAATTGGGGAGCAAGGTGGCGGGGTTCAGCAACGTTTCATTCCCAAAGGTGATATGTTCGGGGTTGAGCAATAGTGATTGGTAGTGGGTTATGCAGGCATTTGAGAGCCATCTATCAGGGGGTTGATGAATTACAGTTTCCAAAGCATGAGGTGCTATTATAGTCAGCGGTTGGCCCAGAGTCAATTTGTCTGCATCCTTAACAAGGATAGCTACAGCTGCTACCATACGGAGGCAAGGGGGCCATCCTGTCACCACATTGTCCATTTTTTTGGAGATGTAAGCCACTGGCTTTTTTCAGGGTCCCAATCTCTGAGTCAGCACCCCTTTTGCTACCCCCTTGTACTCATCTACATATAAGGTGAATGGTTTGGTGACATCAGGGAGACTCAAAGCAGGGGCTGAAAGGAGGGCCCCTTTTATTTTGTCAAAAGCCCGTTGTTGATCCTCTCCCCAGGAGAAAGGAATGTTGGCTTTGGTAAGTGGATACAGATGGGCCGCCAGTTCAGCAAAACCTGGTATCCATAGCCTACAGAAACCTGCAGTTCCTAAAAACTCCCAGACTTCTTGTGCTCCTCTGGGAGGGGGAATTTGTGCCACGACCTGCTTCTGGCTGTCTGTTAACCATCTCTGTCCACCCTCCAAGAGATACCCCAGGTAGGCTACTTGTTTCTTGCAGATGCCCTGTAGCCCAGTTCACCTAATCTGGTGAGCAGGGCTCGAGTCCCTGTGAGGCATTCCTGCTCAGTCTCTGTGGCCAGCAGGAGGTCATCTACATATTGGAGTAGGATTACCTCTGGATTGGTGGTGCAAAAGCTGGCCAGATCCTGGTGCAGGGCCTCATCGAATAAAGTTGGCAAATTCTTGAATCCTTGGGGTAGTCTCATCCAGGTGAGCTGCCCAGAAACTCCCGAGTCGGGATCCTTCCATTCAAAGGCAAACAATGGCTGGCTCTGAGGGCTGAGTCTCAGACAGAAAAAAGCATCTTTTAAATCAAGTACTGAATATCAGATATGGGTCGGAGGCAGGGTACTTAAGAGATTTTAAGGGTTGGGCACCATAGGATGAATATCTAGAGTGCGGCGATTAACTTCCCTTAAGTCTTGTACTGGTCTGTAGTCCCCTGTGCCTGGTTTCTTCACCGGGAGAAGAGGTGTATACCAGGGGGAATGGCAGGCCTTTAAGATGCCCAATGTTAAAAGTCTCTGAATGTGGGGCCTAATTCCTTCTTGGGCCTCGCGGCTCATGGGGTACTGTCTTATGAAAACTGGAGTGGCCGATGGTTTTAGCTCTATTACCAGAGGAGGCTGGTTGCTTGCCAGCCCCATACCTGCGGTTTCTGCCCAGGCTTGGGGGAAGTCACGGAGCCATTTGTCCTTGACAGGCAGCCCTGAGGCGGGGAGGGGGCAGTTCAAACAGCCTATGTTCATCCTGTAACTTTAAAGTTAGAATTTGAAGAGTCTGGTCGGTTTTGTCAGTAACTGAGGCCCCATTTTCTGAGAAGTAAATTTGTGCCCCAACTTTGGACAGAAGGTCTCTGCCCAGCAGTGGGTAGGGGCATTCCGGTACCATGAGAAAAGAGTGGGTTACCTGGCCGATGTTTAAATTAACTTTTCTTTCTGTGGTCCATCGATATATCTTTCCTCCAGTGGCTCCCTGAACCCAAGAGACTTTTGAGCTCAGAGGTCCTTTTGCTTGGGTGAGGGCCGAATGCTGGGCTCCAGTGTTTACCAAAAAGGTGGTAGGGTGCCCCCCCCCCCACTAAAAGGGTTACCCGGGGCTCAGGGGGAAGGCTCTGAGCCCTGACCGTCCTAATCACTGTCTTCCAGGGTCAGGACAGGAACTGGCTTTTTCTTGGGTTCAGCTGGACGTTTTAGGCAGTCCTTGATCCAGTGTCCTCTCTCTTTGCAGTAGGCACACTGATCTCGGGCGACTCATGGCCACCTTTTGTCTCCCCTATCCTTGTCCTGGCACTTCTTGGGCTGCTCTACACTGCGTACTGTTGTGGCCAAGATCTTACTTAACTCACGATTACGCTTTTTAATCTCGTTTGTCCTCTCTCTCTTCCTGTTCTTTGTGCCTTCTTTCTTCCTTTTCCTCTGGTGTCTCTCTTTTGTTAAAAATTCTTTCTGCCTCCTTTACTAAATCTTGGAGAGAGTAACCCTGCAGTCCCTCCATCCTCTGCAGCTTGCTATGAATGTCAGGTGCTGACTGGCTTATAAAAGACATTATTATATCAGCCTAACAATCTGCTGCCATGGGATCAAAAGGGGTGTACATTCTGTACCCCTCCAATAGCCTTTCTAAAAATCCTGCAGGTGTTTCCTCAGGCCCCTGTACTATTGCTCTTACCTTAGCCAAATTAGTGGGGCATCTGCCAGCCCCTTGGAGACCCGCTAATAGGATCTGGCAGTAGAGACGAAGTCGCTCCCTACCAGCTAGTGTGTTGAAATCCCAATTGGGTCGGGTCAAAGGGAAGGCATCGTCTATCTCATTTGGCAACTGGGTTGGCCTTCCATCAGCTCCTAGGACATTTTTACGAGCCTCAAGAAAAACCTACTGTTTTTCCTCTGTAGTAAGGAGTATCTGCAATAACTGTTGACAATCGTCCCATGTGGGCTGATGAGTGATCAAAACAGATTCTATAAGGACAGTCAAGGCTTGGGGGTCCTGGGAAAAAGAAGGGTTATGAAGTTTCCAGTTATAAAGATCAGAGGCTGAAAAAGGCCAGTATTGAAATTGGTCAGCCATCGAGCGGAGGGGGAGTGCCTGGGAAGTCCACCTTTCCCTTTCAGATGCCCCCGCCTCTCTCTCTAGGGAGATGCAGCCACCTGCTGGTTGTGAGTTAGGCCCCCCTCCCCTCCAGCAGTCTCAGTCATGTCAGGGCTAGGGGGCCTGTCAGGATCTATAACAGGTTCAGCAGGTTCCTCGGGAACAGGTGTGAGGGGGGGTGCCTCGGCCTGAGGCAGAGGAGGTTGGGGATAGGGAGGAGGAGGGTCAAAGAGCAGGAGGTCGGACTGGTTGTCAGAGATGATTGGTGGTGCCTGGGACTTCTGTCTCGGTTGCTCCTGCACAGGGAAGAGAGAGAACAAAGAATCTGAGGGAGGGGCGGTTGGGGCTGCCACTGTCCTCGGTGTCAAAGGGGTGATGGATAGCCAGGGAACTGGTACTGGGTTGCGGGTTCCTGCTGGCGGGACAAATGGTTTGACCCAAAGTGGAGGGTCTCTAGACAAGCTCTCCCAAGTTACAATGTAAGGAACTTGATCAGGACGGCCCTGCTCACCAGGCTGAAAGATTCTCGCCTTAACTTGCAAAATGTTAAATGTTAAATGTTCCATCCCGTGGCCAGCCCACTTCAAAAGTGGACCATTCCATGAAACAGAACGCTTGCCAGCATTTCCTTTGGATTACCATAGACTGGTTGCAAGCTCTGTCCTCAACCTCTTTCCAGTGGTCTAAAGTCAAAGTTAAGGGGATGGTTATCTGTTGCCCCACTGTACTAAATTTCAACTCAAAAACGAACACAAAAACAAAAACAACAGTACAAAATAACAGACACAACAAAACAACAATACAAAATAACAGACACAAACTCAAAACCGACAGCTGTGCGGCGACAGACTGATATAAAACTGATGTCACAAACCGGGATGGGAGTGGGCGATAAAAGCCACACTCCCTGGAAACCAAGGCAACCTGGTTGCTCCCAGTTTTACAAATTGCCTGTGAAACGTCCTCCATGGCTGGGCCAGGGAGTGTTCCCGGACACGTCTGTCCCACTGCCTGGTCCCTCTCAAATTCCAGCCCTGCGTAGGTACAATTCTCCAAATTGCTGACAATCATAGACATAGACCACAATAACAGAAATAGACAAACATAAAACATTTAGATGAGCACTCTTACCTCCAACCGGGTCAGGAATGGGTCTTGAGGGCGACCAGCACTTCCCAGCCAATGCACCAAATGTTGGGCCCTAAAGAGACACTCTCAGCACGGTTGATGCAATAGCAAGAGGAATTTTTATTCTGCCACGGCAGAGGTCCCGCAGCCTCAAGAGGAGAAGGACCCCAGCTTTGTCTATTACAGGTTCTTTTAAAGGGAAAATCACAGAATTAGGGAGGGGGTGGTACAGGGTACAGGGTGGTACAGAATCAGTACAGAGTGATACAGAATCAAAGGGAAAGTCCAGAAATCATTTGTCTACCATTTTGACTAGTTCATTTATCGGTTGGCTAACTTTAATTAATCAGTGCTATGGTGATTACGTGCAGGACACTTGTAGGTCGTCTCACCCTAGTTCCAGGGCCTGTGTCTATGGAAGAAAGATTACAATGGCAAGGGAAAGTACTCAAAGTGGTTAGTTACCCGGGTCTTGGTTCACAAGGAGGTGGGTGTAGTAGTGCTAAGGCACCCCAAAGTTTTTCACTTTCAGCTAATTTTTCTATGCTTTAGTAACTCCCAAGATCATTTGTAGCTGAAGAGGAAGGAAGGAGTAATAGTTTGTGTTTGGGTTTTTTTTGTTTGTTTTCGAGACAGGATTTCTCTGTGGCTTTGGAGCTTGTCCTGGAACTAGCTCTTTTAGACCAGGCTGGCCTCATACTCACAGAGATCTGCCTGCCTCTGCCTCAGCCACTCAGTTCTCAGTTACGAGTCTCCTTGGCAACTACCACCTATGCTCTCCATAAACAAGGTGGTAATATTCTATCAGTGTAAGCACTGATGTTTAGAAGGTAATTTTATAGGTAAACCACTTTTTTATGATCTCTAAGCCACAGATTTTTGTTTTGTTTTGTTTTTGTTTTTTGATACAGGGTTTCTTTGTAGCTTTGGAGCCTGTCCTGGAGCTAACTCTGTATCCTGGTTGACCTCGAACTCACAGAGATTCGCCTACCTCTGCCTCCTGAGTGCTGGGATTAAAGGTGTGCGCCACCACTGCCTGGGCAAGCCACAGGATTTTGTCTAGATATGGTGGTTTGAATGAGAAATATCCCCCATCGGCTCAGGTATTTGAATACTAAGTTCCCATTTGGTGCGCTGTTTGGCAAGGTTTAGGTTGTGCAGCCTTGCTAGAAGAAGTCCATCACTGGGGTGGGCTCTAAGATTATACAGTCCTACATCAGTTTGCTCTCTTTGCTTCATGCTTGTGGATGAGGATGTGAACTCTCAGCTTCCTGTTTCAACCACCATGGCTGACACTTGATACCATGCTTTGCTGCCACAATAGACTCATTCATTCATCTGGAGCCATAAGTCCAAATAAACTCTTTCTTCTATAAGTTGTTTTTGGTTATGGTGTTTTATTACAGCAACAGAACAAGTAACTAATACACCTGGCTTATAGTGCCATACATGAATTCTTTCTTATCACGTGGGACTTAAACTCAATCAGAAAGTTTCTGGTTGTACCCAAGACAAACACATGTTCTTTTATTCTCATCTTAATTACTAATATTGATTTCCAGGTTACACATTACACATAGTCCATGCCATTACTGCATCAGTGTGCACATCTTGTCCACCATTTCGATTGTATAGTACACAAAGTCCACAATCAAGTTGGATTGTTGGGGACAATTCTATCTCAATAGCCTGTATAGAAATTTCTTGCACAATAAAATCTATCCAGTTAGGAGGGAGTTTTCAACTCAGTCCTAGACTAATTTCTCCTAGTTCTGCAACCAAGCTTGCAGCATCTTCAGCAATAGGGTCTTTCTTACTATTTAGTTCTGGTATTGTCTTCAATGAGTTCATAAACAGGTGAACATAGTTGTATCTTTCCACAATTAAATTCACAAGGTATGGTGGTTTTATTGGCAACAATTTGCCAGCTACTTTTGCTTTCCTTGATAGTTCTGGTCAAGACAAACACATATTCTTTTATTCTCTTCTTAATTGCCAATATTGACTTTCTGGTCACATATTACACATAACACAGTAAGGAAAGTACATCAATAAATATGCAGTATGTAAGCAGTGGAGTGATTATAAAGGTATGAAGAGACAAAGCACCCTGAGAGTCCAAAACTCAAAGGAGTGCAAAGGAGTCCTTGGAACGAGATAAGCAACCAGTTGCAGGCCTCTGGAGAGGCATTGCTGCTGCTACTGCTGCTCTTTCAGAATCACAGGCTGGAGTGATTCTGCAGAGTTGAGTTTAGCTGAAGAGGAAATGGGACAGGAGTAGGAACAGATGGATAAATGAGTAGATGGATGGATAATAGGTCCAGACAGTCAAACAGAAGCTTTGGAAGATGGCAATTCAAGTATGTCATGTCAAAATCATGAACCAAGTTGAGTTGAAACCCTTGGAATAATTATCCTTGGTACACATACTGGCTGGTCAGTAGGGATTGTCAGCACCACACTGCTGAATGTTCATCTCTTTGTGGAGTCTAGGTGAGTGTTAGAAAGGGGTCTGGCATCCCATGTAATTAACTATACAATGCAAAGAACTTTGGCAATGCAAAAGTACTCCTTTAAGAGTTCCACTGTGACCACTGTGTAGTGGTGGTGCACACCTTTAATCCCACCACTCTGGAGGCAGAGGCAGGTGAATATCTGTGAGTGTGAGGTCAACCTAGTCTACATACAGAGTTCCAAAACATCCATGGCTACTGAGTGAAACTCTGTCTTGAAAACCAAACCAAAACAAAACAAACAAACCTCCCCCCTGCCAAAACCAAACAAACAAAAAAAGAGTCCCACTGGATATTTCTCTTTTTTTAAAGACAGATATTTTTTTTTAAAACTTGAAGAAAAAAAATGATGTATTGCCGGGCGATGGTGGTGCATGCCTTTAATCCCAGCACTTGGGAGGCAGAGGCAGGCGGATCTCTGTGAGTTCGAGGCCAACCTGGTCTACAAGAGCTAGTTCCAGGACAGGCTCCAAAGCCACAGAGAAACCCTGTCGGGGGCGGGGGAAGATTTATAATCTATATAATGTTCTGCCTGCATGTATGCCTGCAGGCCAGAAGATGGCGCCAGATCTCATTACAGGTGGTTGTGAGCCACCACGTAGTTGCTAGGAATTGAACTCACGATCCCCGAAGAACAGCCAGTGTTCTTAACCTCTCAGCCATCTTTCCAACCCTGGATATTTATTTCTAATATAAGAGGGTTCCTATTCTGTATGGTCAGAGTACAGACTCACATTCTTTTTTGTTTTTCAGCTATCTTGGAACTCACTTTGTAGACTAGGCTGGCCTCAAACTCATATAAATCCTCCTGCCTCTGCCTCCTGAGTGCTGGGATTAAAGGCGTGTCATCACCACTGCCTTTCAGGCTCACATTTTTTTTTTTTGGTTGTTTGTTTTGGTTTGTTGAGAAGGGGTTTCTCGGTAGCTTTGGAGCCTGTCCTGGAACACTCCCAGTAGACCAGGATGGCCTTGAATTCACAGGATCCGCCTGCCTCTGCTTCCTGAGTGCTGGTATTAAAGGCATGCGCCTCTACCACCTGGTCTCAGGCTTACATTTTTATGAGAAAATGAGAAAAATAAAACAAAACAAAATTAAGTGACAAAAATGAAACCACAACTTAAAGTTGATGAGCAAAGTGTAATTTTTAAGAGCAGGATGTAACCTTGAGCACAATTTTTTTAAAAATGATCCATTTATTTC